GAGAGGGAGAAAGAGATAGAAACATCAATGATTAGGGAGAATCATTGATCAGCTGCCTCCTGGGTGCCCCACACTGAGGATTGAGCACGAAACCCAGGCATGTGCCCTGACTGGGAATCAAACCGTGACCTCCTGGTTCATAGGTCAGTGCTCAATCATTGAGCCACACTGGCCAGGCTGGACTGAGTCTTGTATGTCTTTGTGTTCCCTTGAGAGCCTGGCACGCAGAGAATGTTTGGTAAGTCTTTGCGGTAGGCCTGGTTATTATGTACAGTGAATTAAAATGGAATATAAGAACTACATATATGGCTCAAAAAAATGGAAACATTTGAAAAATGCATACAATGCAAATCATACCTCCTACCCCAGCCCCACCATCTGCTTAGTTCTGATCTCACGTAAGAGTAAAAAAATTTTCTGTGTATTCTTCCAAAGTTTCTTTATAGATTGCAAATATTATTTCTCTCTCCCATCTTTGTTCATGAAATATAGTGTATTATAACCAATAGTCTTCACCTTGTTTTTTTTCACCTACCAATATGGAGATCTTTCTATATCGGTATATAGAGAACTTTCTCCTTTTTTATGCTTGTTTAAAGAATACAGTGTGTGCTTTCCTTAGCCAGTCCCCTATTTGTTTTCAGTCTTTTCCTGTTGCAAATGGCTGCTGTTGAATTCCTTTACACAGACATCATTTTATTGAATGTGTGCAAGCGTGACTGTAGACAGTCTCCCAGAATGGGAGAGGGCACGTGCATTTATAATTCGATAGATAACTGCCTAAATGACTTCTCAGGGTTAGATTAGCTTACACTCTCATCAACAGTACAATAAATCTTTTTCTAAAATTGAAGGCTTTGGTGCAGCTGCATCAGAACATGGGAACAGAGCAGGAATCAGGAGATAAGATAGGAGCACCCACTTGTTTCCAAGATTTTTAGCCCGTGATCTCATTTAGTTCCTACAAGAGCCGTATAAATAAAGCAAACATTAGATAACCAAACACCGCTGAAAACCGCAGCTTAGTGAGGATGCATAACTTGCCCAAGGTCTCACAGCTAGTAAGTGAGGGGGTTGAGGCTTAATATGTGAGGCTCTGAACCCCTGCTCTTCTCACAAACTCCAGTCCCATCTGGGGTCTAGGTTCGGTTCTGCCAGAGCTCGTCATGTCACCTTACACCTAGGAGGAATGCAACGCGTTTCTGTAGAGTGTGTGGATGGGTGAATGAAATGAGTAAACAGAGATGGGAATTTAGCAGGGTGGGAGTACTACTTAGAAAAGCAGAGAGAGAGTAGGAATCAGGACCCACAGAATACAGAAACTGGAAAGTAATTTTAGCCAAAATGGGCTCGGGAAGAGAGTGTTGGGTTGTTAAGAGGGTAAACTAGTCAGACAGGAAAAGGTCAACACAGCAAAACAAAGTTTTATTGTGTTCTGCTAAATCATGCTCCTGTGAGGTTGCCACATGCCCCAGCTCCTGTGTACAGTTTCACTTATGTTAATGTTTTACAACATCAAGTTTTAAAATAAAAACCTAATACTTGTGGGGGGTTACTGAAAGGCTCACCAAAACTGATAAAAGCATCGAACTTGGCTAGGCTTCAAATCCTGGTGTGTACAAGTGTAGGTAGTACTGGGTAACGATTGGTTTTTTAAAATCCAAATACCAGACTAAAGCTCGGCAAGTGAGTGTTAATGTCTGGAAAATACCCTAATGACCTCAAAGCTTCTCTACTGTCAGGGCTGTTACTATTGTTCATTCCTTGAACCCCTCCTTGGGAACTGCCAAGGGGGTCAGAGCTTTGCCCTTTAAGGATAAAGACTGAAAAAACCCCACAAAACACATTGTTTTTAACAGTTAAAATTCCACGGGAATTATGTGTGCTTATCAAGCATTCTGAGGTATCTTTCCAACTATGTGTTCTTGTTTCTCTGTAGTTCAATTTAAAAATTAAGTTTACCTTCAAACTTTATTGCATTTACTTTGTGATGGTCAAAACTAATTTTAAATAAGCAAATCCAAGTATTTCTACTATAAAAGAAAAGTGGTTTATCTGATTTTTATTTGCCCTTTATAGGATTAAATTTTTTTTTATTGATGGTTTTATACTTCCCTACATGGGATATTGCTTAGGTTCACCTCTCTTCAAAATGAGTGCCTTGTTAACATCTGTCGACTAACAGAATGAGCCTTTGGGGATTAGCGTGTGTGCCATGGCACACAAGGACAGCATTTCTACATACACTGATGAGGGAAAGGGGCAGAAACATGTAGAGTAGCGCCACAGTTAGCTTCACAAATGTTTGTTGGATGGATGGATAAAGAAATGAATGGGACTGAGGAGAAAGCAAAGTAAAAATAGGAGTGGGAAGATGACTAGTCTCTGCCCTTGCGCTGACTCAGGCTGCATCCCTGGTTCCCGAAGCTCAAAACCTACGAGAACCTAGAGTTGGTGGCAACAAAGGGAAAATACCAAGATCCCCCCTTTCTCACTGATTCTCTAGAAAACCCTGCAGACAGGCCAGTGAGGTCTTTGGGATGTCTGATCTGTCACCCAGGGGGTAGGAAATACTGCTCAAGGTTTCTTCCTTGCTGGGTAGAAACTTGTCATTTCTGATTAGGGTAACTTGTTCTAATAAACACTTGATATACATTATTTAATTTGATTAGCCCAATGGTGAGTGCTGATTTTTAAACTTGTATATCAATTATTTTCTTATTTTTAGCATATGTTCCTCATCATCATCTTTTTTCATGGTATAGTCATATTTCATCCAGTAGAATATTTATCTTTTCCCACAATTTTTAGATTTTAAGTTGTTCTCCAGCTTTTGCTATTATAAAGAATACTGATATACTTTTCCCCAAAGCATTTCCCTGACTAACTTGTATATCAATTATTTTCTTCTTTTTAGCATATGCTCCTCATCATCATCTTTTTTCATGGTACAGTCATATTTCATCCAGTAGAATATTTATCTTTTCCCACAATTTTTAGATTTTAAGTTGTTCTCCAGCTTTTGCTATTATAAAGAATACTGATATACTTTTCCCCAAAGCATTTCCCTGACATTTATGCTTTTAGGATAAATTTCCAGAAGCAGGATCACTGGGCCAAAGAGTATAAACATGTATTGCCACAATGACTTTTCATTCATTGTTTAATGTGAGGTGATGGCTCAGGGAACGCTGAGACAGGTGGGAGAGACAGGGTCACTGCCATTTTACAGACGAGATCATTGGGAGCTAAGTTCCCCAGGTCATACAGTTAGAGGAAGAGCCATCATTAAAATGCATGCTTCTCAGATCTCTCCTAATTTGTCTTCCCACTGCACCCCCAAAATGAAATGAACTGAACATGCCACTTTCCTTCCCAGACATCTTAGTCTTGACCTAATGGGGCTTCTCTGTCATGAGGCCTCCTCCTTTCACTCAGGGTCCTTCTACTTTAGGAGGAAAGTGAGACATTTCAAGCAGCCCAAGGACCACACATGGTGAAATCATCAGCTACATCTAAGGAGGAAGAAGGGTGGAACGCCCCCAAAATTAAGTGAAACTTGGGCTGAACTGAACATGCCACCTTCTTTCCCAGACATTTTAGTCTTGACCTAATGGGGCTTCTCTGTCATGAGGCCTCCTCCTTTCACTCAGGGTCCTTCTACTTTAGGAGGAAAGTGAGACATTTCAAGCAGCCCAAGGACCACACATGGTGAAATCTTCAGCTACATCTAAGGAGGAAGCAGGGTGGAACAGGGACAAGAACATGAGAAAGCAAAATGTACTAAATTAGAATATGGGACAGGAACCATGAGAAAGTGCATAAGGAGCAAACAGGAAAAACACACTGTGATTTTGAAGGACTTGAATGCTCAGGATGAGGTGTGTGAGCTGAAGACAGCAAAGAGACTTGAATTAGGGATCGTTGGGGTCATGGTATGGCCTTTCTGTACTCAATTGCATCCAGGACTGTCTTGAACTGTCAAATCTACTTCTTGATAGCAATATACTTTCTCAAGATAGAAACTAAACAAGAATGTGTATTTTCTTTTTATTTTTCAAATGAACGATCAAAAAGTAACTTCGACTATGTATTTTTCAACCACAGAAGAAAGCGAGTCCTGCTTTGTCCAACCCAAACCCCGTACATTGGGAGGAGAATCTACTATTTATGACAAGGCACGGAAGGAAAGCCTTCCTCCATTAGAGAAGCTCAAGATTTCAGCAGCGTCTACAGCTAATGGTGTTAAATCCCTTCATGATCAGCCCCTGGCAAAGGATGCTGCAGACCCGCTGGGATCCACGGAGAAGATTCGGCCTTTAGAGGGACCTCAGGAGTCTGGGCCACTTCAGCAAGATGGCAAAGATGAAACTCCAGGAGCAGGAGGACAGAAAGATGTGGAAGCAGTGACAGAGGCCCAGCCTTTAGAAGGAAATGCCGAGACGGAACCTTTAGGAACAGAAGCCAGGCATCAGCCTTTGAGGACAGCCGGCGAGAGGGACTCCCCTGGAGCCGTAGGAGACACCGAGACTCCACAAACTGCCAGAGAGATGAAACCTCGAAGAAGAGCTGGAAAAATCCCACCTCTGGAAGCAGGTAGAGAGTCACAACCTCCAGAAAAGCCCCAACTCCTAGACACCGTTCCCACGGCGACTGAAGCTCCAGAAATATTGGAAGGACGCCAGCCTGTTGGAACAGCTGGGGAACATCAACTTCAAGAAACACTGCGGAGGGATGAGCAATCCCAACTTCTAGAAACAATGTCCAAAGGGAAAGGATTTCTGGAAATATCGGGAGGAAGTCAGCTTGTGGAAGCAGCTGTAAAGAACGATTTGATGCCTAAAACTCCTGAAGGTCTGGTAAACATGGAGCAGATTCAACCTGAAGGAATAGTCGGAAGCGTGGAGCGTCCAGCAGGAACTCTGGGAACAGGGACAAACATGGAAATGGTCAGGAAAGTTCACACCAAAAAGGAGGACCAAAACATTGAAGGTAAGAGATGCGGTTAGAGATTCAGGATGTTTAGATGGGCTTCATAAGAGGTC